AAGATGGAGGATCTCCGTTTGCGTTCAATTTGTACCATAGACTAATAGAGTTTCGCATGCCTGATTGAAATAGTGTCTTAAAAAGAAACAAAAACATTTACAAAACAGCGTCATTGATAAATTATGTTGTCTTTAAAAAGTTGCATAATTTTCGATATTAAAAATTAAATAGAACGTAGATAAAGAAAGTTATAAAACAAATTTATTTTCATAAATTAACTGCTCTTTAGCAAGTCATCATTATATTGAAACTAATTTATTTTTGTTTTAATTTAAAACATTCCGAAAACAGCATGACATGGAGTACAATTTTGAATTTACAATGCCACGTTTTGTCCAAGTGGAATTTTCTGACCAATGAATGAACAGTTGCATGCACTTCCTTCAAGTTCCTTCAGTTTGATTTGACACTTTTTGTTATTTGATTTGTTTTTGACGTGTAACCTGTCGCTTTCCCTTTATTTACAAAAATCGAATAATTTAGTTAAATCTATTTTGAAACTCTATAAACATGTCGAGTGGCCAATGGGAAGTTGTTGGAAAAAACAAAAAATCCCAAAATGGTAAGGTAAAAACGGGAAAAGACGACGAGAAGAAGCCTCATAAAAACTTGCCGAAACTTGAAGATATTGGTTAGTTTTACTATAGTTACCAGATTTATTTAAATCTAAAAAACAATTTATATTTGTTTAACCTTTTTATGCTATTATTTTAGTTCCACATTCTCAAATAAAATCATTTTATTCGGGTATGGAAATTGATGACACTAAAAAGCCGCCAAAAGATAAAAAGAAGGATGGAGAGAAAAAAGGTAAAAAGGACAAGAAAGCTGAACCTCCAAAGCCAAAGCCACCGAAAACTATTGAGGGTGCATTAGAAGCCGTAAGTTTTCATAATTTAGTTAAGAATATATTAAATTACTACTAATAATCTATACAATGATTTTTTACATTTCCAATCATAATTTTTTTATATTTTTTTACAACAAATGTAGGAACATTTAGGAATTATCAAAAATAATGTCTAAAAGTAGTACACCTAAATTAATAACCTGAAACCATCCATTATGATTATATAAAATGGTAATTCAATTATTTATTTAATCCAGATCTCTATCTTACAAAATCATCAAAATAAAAATATTTCTTACTACTAGCACATAATTTAATTTTTTAAGCAACGCAAGAGAAAAGTGAAGGGTAAATTTGGCATGTTGTAAAACAAGATTACTCTTATGCAAGGATTTACATAACAGGTTGCAACTGCATTGTAATATGATTCATGTTATATACAGTATATTACATTCACATATTTATATATTAAATGCAAGCTATTAACAATGATAAGGACAATAGTTATTATGTCTAGTACAACAAATACTCAATGTATTTCTAATTTACAAAGATTAAGTAACAAATTGAAGTAATAGTTTTAGTAGAAAATTAATATAAATGTAATCTAATTACATAATAATCAAATATGATAAATTTGTATATAGATAGCTCATCCTTTTGCCTGGGGCTTTGTCTGCACTGAATTAAAAAAATATAGCATATGTAATGTTCCAAACATGTTAATGCTATGTTTACTATCTATGCAAGTTAAGCTGTTATAGAGATTTGTAATGACATCAATCCATTCATACAAACTTGTCAATATCTTGCATTTTCAAGAATCTAATTCATCATCAATCCATCATTTGTCAAACAGATCTGTATTCCGTCTACCTCTCTGTTCTTTGCTATTTAATCTTTTAATCTTTCTTTTTACATTTTCAATTACGAAATCATCGAAATTAAACGATGGGGTCCACTAGTAATTAAAAGAAGAAGAAGAAGAAACTAATTACCTTCAAATAATCTAAGCTTAATTGAATTTTTACCCCCCACTAATTATAATTATTTTTGATAGATTGACCCATCCGAGCTTGCAAATATAATAACATCAAATAAGATTCGATTTTCGAATGCTCCATTAGTATGGTTGAAAGAAGTTGCCAGTTTTCTGAATACGAAAATACAAATTGATGTTGAAGATCCAACATTCTCCGATTACGATATTTTATATCCATTAAGCAGTACTCCTGTCGATATAAAGACCAGTTTGGAAAAGTTGCTACAGGATGCTGGAAAAGCTAATATACAGCTGTTCTTTGATGTTACTCTTACAGCTTTGGCTAATGACATGAGTAGAGGTTTGTTTTTTTCATCTTATTTAATGTAAGAAATAAACAAGCACTTTAAACAAACCCATCTGGTGATGTGGGCGAAAGATGATGTATGTCGCCATTGACTCTGTCCGCGTGGAATTAAATAAAAACTTAATTAGTAGTCTATGTGTTCTTTTAGATTATTTTCTACATCTATGCCAAATTTCATCAACATCGGTTGAGCTGTTCCAGGGATACTTTGAAACAAACATGCAAACATGTACATTTATAATATTAGTAAGATTTTGAGTACTTATACCCTAAATTACTGTAGAAAATATTTTTTGTTGAATCGACTTAAAAATATATTTTTTTTTCATAGGTCAAGCAGTAAATGGCCATAGACTACTTCTACAAATGATGGCTCACATGTATCCAGAGTTTTGTACAGCATCAGTAGCCAAGAGTGCCAGTCTTAGAAATTCTTATCAGAACAGACCACCAATTGGTCAATCATTGTTGTGGGCTTTTGGTCAAGGTGGTCTTAGTGATTTCGATGTTGGCATGAAAGGTATGTTGATAAAAGTTGCAATATTTCTTAGACTTTATTCATCATCAGCCCAGCAAAAAGTAGTCAATTTGCCCACATCCTTTAGCTAACTTCCTGTTAGAGTCCTATCAGCCTCTCCGGAGATTAACTGGGAGGTGGCCTTGTGGAAGGACATACAGACAGACAGACAAGAATTAAAAAATTGGTTTTTAATCAGCTACAAAAAGATACGTCATGTTTGGTGGCTTTTTTTTTATATCACAAGGTGGCAAACGAGCAAGCGGCCACCTAAAATCGCTGAAATAGCTAAGTGACCGTTGCCCATAGACATACGCAATTGCATATGCGTTGCCTACCTTTAATCGACGGGGGAAAGGATGTACAGAAAGAAAATATTTTCCCTTTCCATGCATCCTCTCATCCGGAAAGTCCACTTCCACTTCCCAGCCTTTCCTTATAAGAAAAAGGGTGGGACGGGAAAGAGGACTAATTTTGGCCTCCGGGACGCACACTCATCAGACGAAACGCGGAATTGCTTCCACTTTACGCCTGTCTTCTGTGTGTTCGTGATATTTCACCGGGCGAGCCGATTCGAGGTGACGAACTATAAGATAGAAACTCTGTTTATAGAGAAAATTCTATAAGGAATAAGAATATTGCGGTCCCTTATACTGAAGTATTTATGTCATAAAAAATCAATATGTTTATCGGCTTTTGATACAAGATTATTTTTGACACTCTGACATTTGATATAGACGGTCTGTTATCAAATAATGGCCTCTCAAGGCATAAGATAACCTTATGAACACAATCTGTTCTTTTTTTTAAACTTTCTAGTAGTAAATATTCTACAAATTCTAAAATACAATATTGCAAAAAGGTAAATCATAAAATTGCCACAATGTTGTCGAAACAAATGTGTTTTTATTTTTATTTTAATCTATCCATTATTAAGATATGTTTAAACTGACATATGATTGGTTACGTACCCGTGTTTATTCAATTCATTAAACTATTTGGTACCATCACCGATCAATCATATGTGAGTTAAGCCGTACCAAATTAACATCATATTAAGATGTTTAATTATATTTCAGCCTGGCAAGAATTATTCCTTCCCATAATTGAGTTGAAGAGCTACACTAAATATATAATAACATATTTATCAACGCTCTTGGATACGCACGGTAAAATGGATGCAACGAAAATAAGTCAGGAACAACTGTTTGCTATGTTCGATTTGGTAAACAATAAGAAAAACAGTTTATCCAAAGAGTTGTCAAGTGACCTTATTCAACAATTAAGTAAATATAAGGTATGATTTTACAATTAAAAAAAAACATTACAAAATAATGCTGCACACTATGTAACAAACAGTGACTACCATTGCCTTATATAAATAAAAAAAAAACTAGGCGCGACTCTTTCCGCTTTGAATTTAAATTTAATTAATAACCTATGTGTTCATCCAGACTATGTTCTAAATTTATGCCAAATTTCAGTAAAGTCCATGAAACCATTCTGTAGATATCTCCTAATAAACATCCATCCATTTAAAAATTCACATTTATAATATTAGTAACATAAAACAATGTTTCGATTAGCTTTTTACAGTTTTACTTACTAAAATTTGTATTACAGGATGTATTTTTCAATAAAAGTGGAAATAAGTTGCAAGTTACATTTAACCAAATTATGAAAAAGTTGCCCAATCAATACTTGAGCGGTAACAGCTTGGACCCTTACAATAGGGTGCTGGTTGCCAGTTTGGTTGATTGTTTGAGACGAGATGACTCTTGTAACGCAACATGGAGACAATTATTCCACAAATGCACTAAACAATCAGCTACCCTCCTAGATTTTATTAGTAAGTACTAAAAAATAATTTTCTTTTGCTTAAAGAACATTACTGTGGTACTTTATTGATTTATTGTGTACTTCAATTCTAAACATAATACTCTAGCAGTTATTTTTGGTCTAAATGTTTCTTGTTTTAAAATTATCCATTACTAGCTGTTCTGGACTTCAGGATTAAAAAATCTTAATCAGCTGTTCGGAAGATACCTTCAAACAAACATCTATCCATCCATCCAGCAATTCATCTGTACCTTCGCATTTATATAATTAACTAAGATAGCAGTGTTTTATCTAACCTAATTTTTGGATAATCCTTTTAGATAGCAACTGGACTGAAGTAAGCCCAAAACTGAGACTGAAATCTTTGAAAACTACGGTGCTGCAATATAAAGAAATAAGTAAAGATGCATTAAAAGGGAAAAAGAAAGAC